AGGGAGAGATAGATTAATGTCGAAACGTGACAAGGTCCAATTGAAACAGTAATTAAAACACATTCTCAAGGTTCAAACAATTTGATTTTAGCGCCTTATCTCATAGCTCAATTATCGTTTAAGGCATAAGTCCATAGTCACCCATTTTCTAACTACTTAATCATATTAAATAATCAAATGGAATGCAACATATAAGCAATTAGATTTAGTGCATATGGGCATAATATTATGTTGAGTTCAAACAATTAAAATCAAACATTTTAACTTTATCAAATAGTAAGGGCCTAAATGCAAATATGAAAAAGTTAGGGGTTAAACCGTAAATACTCAAAAGTAAAAACAACTTTTTTTAAATTACAAAAAAAACCCCACAAGTGGGAAATCCACTAGGGTGGCCGGCCACAATTTAAGGGATGGGATATCTCACCCAATTTTGCATTGAACCAACATAAAGTAGAAGAAAAATATATCTTGTTTGCCACTTAGTTTTGTTTTAAGGACTTTAGGGAAAAGGGTGATGGAAATATATATCTAGACAAGTCTAGGTATTAATTTAAATTTTGGTGTAGGCTATGGATGGTATGTACATCATCCATAACCACAAAACAATGCATGTAAAACCATTTTCACCAAAAAACCAAACCATGAACACCAAGAACAAAACCATGAACATATTTTCAAGATTTGTATGTTCTTGGTGATTTTTCAAACCCAAAAAACAAAAGTGACAAGATCACTACTTTCTAGCTTCAAAGTGTGTGTGTGAGGTTCAAAACAAAACACAAACACTAACAAAAAAAATCCCCATTTAGCCGAACCCCCTTTGAGGAATAAAACCCCAAAATTTTTGTTTCTAAACCCTCTTTTCATTCATGCATCCAAAACATTTTTGCATACATATCTTTCTCAACTATTGATACACCTTTTCAACATTTGAAAAGACAAAAGATAAACATATTTTGAATGAAAAACAATTTAAACTCAAACTTCATTCATGCATCAAAAACACTTTTCTTGCATATCCTTTTTCAACTTTTGATTTACAATTTTTCAACACTTTGAAAAAACAAAAGATAAACATATTTTGAATGAAGCAATAATATGACATACATAAAATTAAAACCCATATGCATAAAATCTAAAAGGACACATCATACATAAACCTTTGGCTCTTGATACCACTTGAAGGGAAAATATGAGAATTATGTGGGATTTCTAGTGACTAGCATGCATATACAATTCAAAATTTATATACGAAAGCAACGGAAGCATGTCATACATTTTATCAAAGCTATAGTCATGCAAATCCCCTTCAAGATGCATAGGTTTATATATGATGCATCAAAAACAATTTATTGAAGAACAAAGTTTAGGAGTAGTTTTATACCTCTTGATCTAGATCTTAGATCAAGGATTGACCACCTCCAAGCTCTTTGCTCCTTGAACTCCTTGAGCCTAGCCTCCCTCATTGCCTCCTCCACTTTGTTGAGAATGAGTGCTCCTAGGTTCTCTTCAAGTTTCCAAAGATATGAAAACCTCTAAAGATCCTCACCCACTTTGTAATGAGAAAGATGAAGGAATAACCAAAAGGGTGATAAGATGATTAGCTAAAATCCCCTCATGGTGGCCGGCCCTTTGTTGTTAGAGAGAGAGTGATATTCTTTTCTCTTTTGTGTTTATGAACCACCTAACACACTAACTCATCTTTCATTATAATGTTCCTTTTATTACATAAAGAAACAAGTCAACAATTAACCTACTCTCTCCCTCTCTTTGGCCGACCCTTTGTGTTTGGTTTGGGCTTTGGGCTTTTAATTATTTCAAGTCATCCAATGCTTGAATAAAAGCCCAATGGGTTTTGGCCCAATGGGCCCAATTAAACCCGAACGTTTCTTTAAGCCCAAAACGATCTTTATCGCTTTTATGATTTCTTTAGACTTTCTAAATTAATCAAAACACTTAATTAATCCAATTAATTATTTCCTTCATCCATTAGTTACTCACTACAAGAGTGTATTGGTGAACAATCTTTTAGGTTCTAATTAGCAAGGCAGTGAGGTGATTGGCACCAATCCAATTGATTATCCAATCACTTAGTGAATTAAAACTTACTTTTAATTCACCTTCCTTTTAATGACTACATTTAATCATCTAGAAGAACTCACAAGCCATGAGTGACATCTAACCATATATCATGGCTACCCAAGCTAATGTAGAAGTTATTCGGAGAACCTATTCAGTTGGAATTACAATGTAATTCGATCCTTCTCTAAAACAATACTCTCAATCACATTACTAGGGTATGGATTTATAATGTCAAACCCCTAATGTGATTATTCCTTCTTATACGATTCATTTGAGACGTATAGGAACGCTTTCCTTTATTACGCTCGATACTTCGGCCAAAGATTCCCGAATCATATCTTAGAGTATTCATCCTCTCTTATCGAGGATTAGAGATTCCTTGTTGCGCATTCACTTGCCTTCATGGCTAAGTGGCTTAACCCCAACGATGCCTTGGACACTCGCAAATGGAATGACTTTAACATAATCAAAGATTAAGTACTTAACCACAAGACAACGACGATGCCTCAGGTCAAAGGATTACTTACATTATTCCAACCATTAGAGTTACTTGCTTGACATGTGAGTAGACCTCCATGCAAGTACTCTCGTTCGATTGTGTTCAGTGAACTCATTCCCTTAATGAGCACCTACATGCTTGTCTTAGTGTCGCTACACGAATGGGATGAGACTTTCCATCTTTCCAATTGAAGCGGACATAGTATGTACCAGTCTATGGATTGTCAGTATCCCTCCGACAATCCTTATGACCAGGAACCTTTTTGGACATGATGGTTATGAGAAGAAGGTCTCTGTAATCTAACATCATTAGGTTACTTCTTCCATCGATCCATTGTCCATGGATTCACTATTTAGGACATATTTCGTTCATTGAGATAGTCCTAATTAGTATCTTTGCCTTCCGATGTATAAGAGTCATATATACATCAATTCATTGTCCTGAAAGGTTTCTTCCAAAGATTGACTTTCAGGGTATATTTCCAACAAAAAGGCCTCATGCTAGGTAAAGATGCGAATATACATATAAGGATCACTCCCCTGGGCAATGTGGGATGTCACAATCCATCCCCCTTAGGGGCCCGACGTCCTCGTCAGCACACCACGGCCAGGGTTAGGCTCTGATACCAAATTGTCACATCCTGGCCCGGGGGGATCACTTTCTGAGCCCACTCCACCACCGTAGCACGATATTGTCCGCTTTGGGCCCCGACCACGCCCTCACGATTTTGTTTATGGGAACTCACGAGCAACTTCCCAGTGGGTCACCCATCATGGGTTTGCTCTAGCCGCCTTCTCGCTTAACTTTGGAGTTCCTAAGGAACCCAAAGCCAGTGAGCTCCCAAAAGGTCTCGTGCTAGGTAGAGATGGAAATATACATATAGGGGGCGTTTGTTGCACCAGACTGTCTCAGACTGGACTAGGTGCAAGGACTAAATTATACTGGTTTAAACTAGACTAAGCTGGACTAGCTTAGTGAAGCGTTTGGTGCAATGTTGGACTAAGAAGCAGGATAATTAACAAACTATACTATTATATTATTTAATACATATTATAATATATTTTTTATTATTGATTTAACATTTTTCTTTTTTTCTTTTCTTAAAAACTCTACTCTCTTTGGAAACTTCTCACTTCTCCTCATTGGCTCTGTCCCAATCCCTCCTTATCACCCTCCTTCTCCCTCTCTGTCTCTATATCTCTCTTCATCCCCAAACTTGTTTTCTCCATCAAAATTGTTTGCAGAGATGACTGGAGCAAATGATTGTCATTGCAAGTCTACAACAATGTTTCGTAACTCTGTTAATACGCTGTCAATCATTTCACGAATTCAATAGCAATCTAGCAACGAAAGATGTTATATTTCTCTATTCAATTAGCCATATTTGAAGTGAGAACTTTATGCCAATCTATTAGAACTTCGTTCATCTGTGCGATATGGTCAGCAGTTAATAAATTTTTCTTTCTTTCAATTTTGGTGGTTGGAGTTTAAGATTAGGCGGTGGGTGTGTCCGCGAGGTGGTGAGCTGCAGTTGTCCCCTTGGCTCGGGCCACGGAAGAGCAAGCGTCGCCGACTGCATGGCCACAGTGACAGTGCTGTAGAAGAAAGAATGGAAAGCCCAAGGAATGGAAGTTGGGATTTAGCAAGGGGAAGCTCGAGTCTTGCTGTCGGCCTCGCCTTCATTTTAGTCCCGCTTAATACCTAGCAAAAGCTCGGGACTCGTTAACGAGGTTTAGCGAAGCGAAGACCGCCTCCTAGTCGAGGCGAGTCTCATTTACTTTAGTCCAGGCCCTTACCAAACGTAGGATTATAATTCTACTGAAGCCCATCCAAGCCTGTCCCACTTAAGGAGGTGTAACAAACGCCCCCATAAGGATCACTCCCCTGGACGATGTGGGATGTCACATGAAGGATCACATTGATGATTTTGTTAATGCATACTTGCTTCAAGACCACCGTGCAAAAGGTTTGTTCCCCTTTCGCATTGAATACTTGTACGGCATGTCTGCAAATGTTTTCATTGTTCAATTGGTTTGCTTCTAATTTTGATTAGGTAATTTTGCATTTGTTTTTAGTTCTTTGGAATGTCAAAGAGTTGCCGCAGAGATGAGCAATGATACCAAGGAAGTTGGAGCGAATTACCTTTGTAAAATAACAAAATAAGAATTTTTTTGCAACAAATAAAAATCTTTCCTATCCTGAGATAATTTTATTTAGATTAATCAATGTTATCCCAACATATATTATTAGCTCAAATTCATATATTGTAGCTGATTTCTAATCCCACAGCAACGCGGACATTACTATCTAGTATATATTAAAAGAGTAACCTTCAACTTAATTCCCGTCGTATCCTTTTAGACTCATATTACCGTTACTTATACAGTGGATTTCCGATTTTGTCCTCGAGCAATTTTCTTTTATTTCAACTTTGCTCCTTTTGCTTTGCTGTCAAATGAATAACGATTTTGTGACGCGTGGGATCCTCGACCGCTTCCTTCCTTTATCCCCCCCTCCCTCCTCACCTCATATGGCAAACCCTCGTCCCTCTTCACCTCGTCTAAACACCATGAGCTAGAAGAGAGACAAACCCTACTTCTCCCGCCACGCCCCCTACTCCGGGTCGAAACACTGTCGCCCCCTGCCTCCACATCCGGAACCCAAACCCGAGCTCGACAAGCCCACTTACAAGCAACCTACCGTGCCACCGACTCCGCTCAAGCCGCCATTGCTGCCTCTCTCGACCCATCATTCGGTATCACCATCGAATCCAAAAAAGTACTGATCTTTCCTCTTCAATTGACCCAAAGAAGCTTTCTTTTTACTATTTAATTTCTGGGTTTTCAAATTTTTGTTGAAATTTGGGGTTTTGCCGCAGCTGCAGGTGCTTTGGCCGACGGACTCACTTGCCTTGTGGCGGAAGGGAGTTGGAGCTGGTGCTGAAATTAGAGATTCCGGTGCCAGGTCGTTGGAAAGTTCGATCACTGCTGCCACCAGTTCACGCAGGCCTCATCTCTAAGCTTTGGGATCTGTAGACTGCTACAACTGCAGAGGTAAGCTCTGTGATAAATCTTTTAATTCACTCTATATTTCTTTTTTCATCTGGGTAATTAACTAATTTCAGGCCAGGTTAAACGCCGCAGCGGCCTCGCTCCGTTTTCCAAAATCCTCTTCACTTAGGTAAGCAATTCAGACTTTGGTTCAGTTTTCATTATGCCCAATTTTGTGTTTATACCTAAAATTTTTTAAAACTGATTTGGGGTTACTGAAATAGGCATGCTCGATGAGTGCTGCAGCACTGCCATCCCTGAATCAGAAGATAGTCGGAAGAAGGAAGAAGAAGAAGAAGAAGAAGAAGAAGGTCGCGGAATATTGAAAGCTTTTAGCTTTGTGAAGGTATGCTTTTTCGAACTCACTTCTTGCTTTTGTTGCACTGAATTGGTATATTGGGTTCGAATTGCGATGACGATGAAGTGTTTTGAGGGAAAGACTTGAGTGAGATTGCAACTGAGAGACATAGGTTCAAGTTGAATTGTGTAAAAAATAAAAGAGATTTCAAATTTGGTTGACACTGGGAAACTATGAAGATTTAATGGTGGTTGGAATCATTGATCTAACCAAAGTGGGTTTCTGTATCATGTATTTCATGAGTAGAACTGACATATCATCTATATAATTGACTGAATTATATACTCTAAATATCAAACTTTCTTAATGTCATGTGATCAGTATGAATGGATTTGATATGGGAAGGTTTGCCTCTAAACTAAATCCCATTCCCAAGTGATGTTATGTGACAGAATTTATTCCGCACTATGTCTTTAAAGGAAATGTTCATTAGTTTATACTCATAGCTGTTGTACTTACAGGTTAGTTTTATATATATTTTTTAAGAACCATGCATAGTAGTTGTTAAATATTATGACATTTGAAAATCCTTAATTCTGTGATTGGGATATGATTACTATGTATTCGCTTTATTTAATTAAAATTTACGAGTGATGGAAAATTTAAAATTAATTTATGCAACAATTATTAGGCACTATGTTTCAGTGAAATTCAAAACGAAGGTGAAGGCGATATCTGTATCCTTCTACACATGTATTTAGGAAACTTTGATGATTCACCTATATTCCACCAATTGGTATGTTCATTCTCTAAACTTTTATATTTATTGTCATTATTGTATGTTAATATTATGCCATATAATAGGGCAAATGACATGTCATCCAATATAGTTACTGTTAAATAGTATGATAAAGCTAAATGTAATCAGTTCTGTTAGTTACTGTAATTAGTTAAGATAGTTGAGGGTATTCTTGTAACTAGCCTAAGGCAGCTAAGGCTATATATATTCACATCTATGTAACTGATTTTATTATTCAATACAATCAGAAAACTTACAGAGAAAGTTTTCTATTTCAATATGGTATCACGCCATTCTGCTTCCCAGCACCGACCTTCTCTTCTGCTCGACAAATCAATCGTTTCTTGATCACTTCTCTTTGATTCTTTGCCTTTTTGTCTTCGATCTCTCTTGAATCTGGATCTCTTCAAGATATGGCTGCTCAATTTGACTCGCCACCAACTGGATCGTCTTCTCCGATTATCTCTCCTTCAGTCCAAAACCCTAATTCTTCCTCTAATCCCAGTCCTTTGAACTCGTATACCCCTCTTACGATTCACAACATTGGCAGTATGGTGCCGATCAAGCTGAAACGATCCAACTATTTTCCATGGCGAGCACTGTTTGCTCCCATTTTCCGCCGATACAAACTTCTTGGTATCATTGATGGCACTGAGATCTGTCCTTCGCCCTTCTTGCCTGATCGCTCGATGAACCCTGCCTTTGAGGATTGGTATGAAAAGGATCAAAATCTTTTGATTTGGCTTAATTCTACCCTCTCCGAAGAAATCATTCCATTCACAGTTGGTGTTTCTTCTTCTCGCGAGCTCTGGGTAAAGCTTGAACAGCGCTTTGGTGGAGTTTCGGAGGCTCACATTCACCAATTGCGATCGCGACTCCAATCAATTCAGAAAGGCTCTCAATCCATCTCTGATTATATGCAACAAATCAAGGAAATTGCTGATTCCTTGCAAGCTGCTGGTGCCTCAGTGTCCGATCGTGACCTAATTGCTGCTACACTTCATGGATTGCCCGATGAATTCGAATCTTTTATTGATTCCATCATGTTGCGGTTATCTTCTACCTGTCTTGATGAGCTCCATGGTCTCTTACTCACCAAAGAGTTATCTATGGCTTGCCGCCGGCCTATTATTCCTTCTTCTGCTACTGAGCCTTTTCAAGCATTTTCTGTACGCTCTCAACCTTCCCTGCTTCATACTCCATCTGCTTTTGTTGCTCAAAATCAACCCCTTCACTCTACTTCTCGGTTTAACTCAAATCGTGGTAGGCCATCTCGAGGTAATTTCTCTTCCAATCGCAGCAGTCGCAATTTTCATAATTCTCGTGGTACTTTCCCTACAAATCGTGGCAATCGAAATTATCAAGGATCTCGCCATTTTCAAGGTTCTTCCACCTTCAAAGTTCCTTGTCAGATCTGTGGTTCTACAAGTCATGAGGCAATTGACTGCTTTGATCGTATGAATCCGGACATCTGTGGTCGAATCCCTCCAGCCAAACTTGCTGCTATATTTGCGCATCATTCAGTCAAACCATCTCAGCCCTGGTTAATTGACTCTGGTGCCATTTCCCACATCACCAATGATGTAGCTAATATTTCTTCTCCTACTCCCTATAGTGGAGAGGACAAAGTCTACATTGGCGATGGTAAAGGATTGTCTATTCATCATATTGGTTCATCATCTTTGCACACTCCACATAATTCCTTTAAACTGAGCAATGTTTTACATGTTCCTTTCATGAAAAACAATCTCCTGTCTGCTTATCAGTTTCTTAAGGATAATAACTGTTCATTGACTCTTGACCCTTATGGATCCATTTTCAAGGATCGCATTTCGGGTAAGATGCTTTTGCACGGCCCTGTTAGGGATGGTTTCTATCCTCTCCAAGGTTCCACCAGTCTCCATCAATCTACCTCAGCTCTTCTTAGCATCAAAGCACCTGTCACACTATGGCACAAGAGCCTTGGACATCCTTCCTCCTCCATTTTCAGAAGGGTTATATCTACTAATAATCTTGCACTACAAGGCAAGAAGAGTGTTGATTTTTTCTGCTCAGATTGTGCACTTGCTAAGAACCACAAGCTTCCTTTTGGAGTGGCTTCTTCATCAACTCAAAGTCTCCAACTTCTGCATTGTGATCTATGGGGACATGCCTCTGTTACATCTAATAGTGGTTTCAAGTACTACCTACTTCTTGTTGATAACTTTAGCGAATATAGTTGGTTTTTTCCATTGAAGTCCAAATCTGATGTATTTTCTACATTTGTTACTTTCAAAAGCTACGTAGAAAACTTCAGTGGCAATAAAATCAAGATTCTGCGCTTAGATTCAAGGGGTGAATTCACCAGTCACTCCCTTGCTTCTTTTCTTCGTGCATATGGTATATTACATCAATTTAGTTGTCCACATACTCCGGAACAAAATGGTTGTGCAGAGAGGAAGCATCGCCATCTTATTGAGACAGCTCGAACATTACTTGTTGCCTCTCATGTTCCTCAAGTGTTTTGGGTTGAAGCCTTCTCCACTGCCGTATATCTTATTAATAGGCTTCCTATTTCACAAAGTCTCCTTGGGAACTTCTTTTCAATCAATACCCAGATTACTCTAAATTGAAAGTTTTTGGCTGTCAATGTTATCCCTGGCTTAAGCCTTACATTCCCAGCAAACTGGAAGCTAAAAGCAAAAGTTGTGTGTTTTTGGGATATAGTCTACAACATAAAGGCTATAGGTGTCTTGATCCCGTGACAAATAGGATCTACATATCTCGACATGTTTTTGATGAACACTCTTATCCATTCAAGTCCATGCTGAGTCACAGTTCAAATTCAGAGACTTCATCTCCGGCATATTCTCCATCCTTGGATCTTCACTTCCGCAAATATGTCTCAAGTTCTCCTACAACTAGTACCTCTTCAGAATCACCATGTCCTTCTGCACCTACTTCCATTCCTCAGATCTCACCTCCACCTAAAGTTCCTTCATGCACTCAGTCAGTGGATCATTCTCTCAGTTCTTCTCGTTCTGTCTCTCTTAGTAATTCTTCTCTCGTGCCTATTCAGCCAAGTCATCCACCAATTTCTGAGAATACACATCCTATGATTACAAGATCTAAGGCTGGAATATACAAGTCTCGAGCTTATTCAGCAACCAAACATCCACTTCCTGTTGATCTTGACTTTGTTCCTAGTACTTATTTGCAAGCATCAAAGCATGCTCACTGGAGAGCTGCCATGCAAGCTGAATATAATGCTTTAATCTCCACAGGCACTTGGTCTCTTGTTCCTCCTCATCCTTCTCAGAATGTAGTTGGTTGTAAATGGGTTTTCCGGGTCAAGAAAAATCCTGATGGCACTCTTGACAAACACAAAGCCCGCTTGGTGGCAAAGGGATTTCATCAGCAATAAGGAGTTGACTTTCAAAAAACCTTCAGTCCTGTTGCTAAATCCGTTACCATTCGAATTCTTTTTACACTTGGTGTCCAATATAATTGGTTCTTGAATCAATTAGATATTAGCAATGCCTTTCTTCATGGAGACTTAAAGGAGGATGTTTACATGCAACAACCCCCAGGTTTTCTTGATTCCAACTCTTCACATTTTGTTTGCAAGCTAAAGAAATCCTTATATGGTCTTAAACAAGCTCCTCGAGCTTGGTTTGATAAATTGTTTCAAGCCCTTCATACCCTTGGGTTTCACCAATCCCAATCTGCTTCTTTGTTTGTCCTTCATGGACCTCAATTAGTCATTGTTCTTGTTTATGTGGATGATATTCTAGTTACTGGCCCCTATTCTCAACTCTGTCAACAATTTATCCAACAACTTAGCACTCAGTTTCCAGTGAAAGATCTTGGTCCTTTACACTATTTCTTGGGATTGGAAGTTCACAGATCTCCCAATGGCCTCTTTCTCCATCAGACCAAGTACTTACTTGATCTCCTCAAGAAAACAAATATGGAAGGTGCCAAACCTTGTTGCACTCCTCTCGGGTCTCAGAAGCTGGACCACAGTGGGCCTCTCTTATCCAATCCCACTGAATATCGTTCCATAGTTGGTGGATTACAATATCTCACTTGGACTCAACCGGATCTTGCATTTGCTGTTAATCAGATATGTCAGTTTATGCATGCTCTAAGAGAACAACACCTTCAAGCAGCAAAAAGGGTTCTCAGATTTCTTAAAGGTTCTATTTCTCATGGTTTATGGTTTACTAAAGGTCCCATCACTCTTTCAGCTTACTCTGATGCTGATTGGGATGGATGCACATTTGACAGGCGGTCCACCAGTGGATATTGTGTTTTTCTTGGCTCTAATCTCATCAGTTGGAGTGCAAAGAAACAAAGCACTGTTGCTCGTTCCTCTACAGAAGCTGAATATTGTTCTTTAGCTCATACTGCAGCAGAACTCACTTGGGTTTGCAAAATTCTCAAAGATCTTCATTTCCCTCTTCCTACTCTACCTACCCTATGGTGTGATAATATCTCTGCAATCTCTTTAGCCTTTAATCCTATTTTTCATGCTCGAACCAAGCATGTTGAGATTGACTATCACTATATCCGGGAGTTGGTTCTTGCAAATCTCAATATGTTTGTAGTGAAGACCAAGTGGCTGATCTTCACACCAAATCTTTGTCTAAGAGCAGGTTCTCTTTTCTCTGTCCAAGGTTCCAATTGGAATCCTCACTGATTCCTCCTTTAGCTTGAGGGGGTGTAATAGGGCAAATGACAAGTCATCCAATGTAGTTACTGTTGAATAGTATGATAAAGCTAAATGTAATCAGTTCTGTTAGTTACTGTAATTAGTTAAGATAGTTGAGGGTATTCTTGTAACTAGCCTAAGGCAGCTAAGACTATATATATTCACATCTGTGTAACTGATTTTATTATTCAATACAATCAGAAAACTTACATAGAAAGTTTTCTATTTCAATACCATAAAAAGCTGAAATCAAATTTGTTGTTTTGCTAGCTGATCTTATTGTCATAGGTTACAATTTCACATTTTTACTTTCAATTCTTCTTCGTTTTTTCTTTTTCTTTTTGGAAAGCATGAGTGTAAAGTTTGATCACTGAGTTTGACAAACAAATATATTGAAATAAAAAAATTGAATTTAAATTTGTCAACTAGATTATCTTTTTCTTTTTCAAATTGGTATTACATATTGAAAAAAATATAACAATGATTGTTCGTTTGTTTGGATGAGGTGAAATCCAAATTTATGTGACGGGAAGAAGTAAAAAAGTTTTTTTTTCCCCTTATGCATCCTGCAAATGATTAGGTAAAAACAGTAAGAATTGCAAATAATGTTAATCGTTATTTACTTTTTTTTTTCCTTCTAACCAATTATGCAGTAAGGATATTGCTTATGAATAATTATCGTAAAATGAACTCTTTATCTTAGTTTGTTGGTAAATATCACATATTCATTATTCATCCATTGTACATATATATCTTACTCCTAATTATTCATGTATATCTTACTTCTAATTGTTTTTTGATTGTGGTAATCTATTGTTTTACTCATTCACTCTACTCTACAGATTTGTTTGAAAACTAGCAGGAAGAAAGAATGAGACGGTTGGAGTGCAGAGTGGAAGTTTACTTTGATGCTGATAGGTTGGATCACCAGGTGAAATTTTCATTTTGAGATGTATATATACGTTCGCTGCCTACATATAAATTACTTTGTGTACCTGCGACCACTTGCTTGATTGCCCTGTTGTTTTGGCTGCTTACTCAACCTTTTTATACGTAGGAGAGATTTGAGTTTTATCATTACAACTTAATGTCCATAGACACATGATACAGATTGAAACAAATGTAAAATTTAAAATGGTATGAATCAGGACAGCTGCGAACTGTGATTTGCGGACCTTAAAACGGAGAAGTAACTTCTCACTTCAATTCCGCAGCATAATCCAGCTTTTGAGTCCAGTTTTCAGGTATGGGGTTTCTCAGCTACCTCTTTTTTGAAACGAAACATTTGAGTAATACTTGCCAGGATATCCAATTAATTAGATCAATTTTTGTTTAATTGGGATTCTTAAATTTGATTTTAGGGATTTTAATTTGATTGGGTTTTGGGTTTACGATTTCAATTTAACAGTTCTATATTTATATTTTCTTGACTCTGTAAAAAAATTTACATAATTTTGAATACTGATTGATACATAACTAAAACTCATTTTTGCCTAAAATACTGTTTGTTAAACACTGGTCTCCCATTAAGGTATGATTTCTCAATCCAATGTTTCTTTGCTGTCTAAGATGATTTTGGGTTATATCACTCAGAAACAATTTATTTTTTTGAATTATTTTTTTCGCTAAGAAAGTGAAAATCCCTAGCCTTTAGATTTTCCAGTATTTTGTCGGTAATAATAATTTTTTTGCGGCTTTATACGTGTCTCTGTTTCTAAATATGATGATCTCTTAATTTACCATTGTAGCTTTTGTAATATGATGATCTCTTAATTTGCTTTGACGTATCTTCTTTACTTCCTCTTCTAGCTCTATACATGATTCCATTGCCAAATAATTATTCCATATTTCCTATTTTTACAGGAAGCAAATCATTGAATACACACGGAAAATTAAAAGAGTTTTAGTTTTTGCATTCGTATTCAATGAATTTGAAATGGAGAACTTGGTTGATTGAGACAGAGAGAATCTGACAGCTCCAAACTCTGATCTGCTGATCTCGAAATGGAGAAGTTACTTCTTGCTTTACTTTCACAACGTAAACCAGCTCCTCGGTTCAGTTCTTAAATATGAGGTTTTTCAACTACCACTTTTCTGTAATGAAACATGCAGTACTCGCCAGGATATCCAATTAATTAGGTAGTTTTTGTTTAATTGAGATTCTTAATTTCATACTATGGATTTTAATTTGATTGGATTCTATATTTTCGAAACTCAAGGTAAAAATTGTTAAATAGTTTCAAATACATAGGATTAGTTTCATAACTTTTTGGGTTGCTTTGTTATTGATTTTGGTTGCAGATTTAATCCCTTGAACTTGAATTGGATCACTCTATGGGACTTTCTGTTGTTTGGCTTCTTTCTTCTCTCTTCACATTTCTCTCACTCCCTTGGTCAATAACTTTTCACCATTTTCGGTTCTTTCTGAGAGTTGAATGAGATCTGGGCGGTCACTTAAATTCAGGGTAGCTCTATAAATCCTCTCGGTTTTTTTTTTAAATATTTTTCTCTGTTCTGTAGATTTCACCAAACAGCAGAGAAAAAAGTTGGCATTATCCGTGGAGAATTCTGTTTTTCCCATCTTATTCCATAAAACTGAATTTTCAGTTATTTAAAGATCTGAATTTTTTCAACCAGATGTTGCTGGGTGTAATGTTTTTGGTTGGTGCTTGCTTGCAACGCAATTTGGTGCTATAAAGTTTTGCGTTTTACAATCTGTTCATGTTTAAACCTCTTCCAATTTTGCAATTATGTGTAAATCTTGCAGGTCAAGATGCGACACCTATCTGGGCAATGTCTGGATGTCTAGGCTTGGATGGAGACTTGGAATTATGGAAGAGGTGAAGTAGCTTAGCTCTATCTCATTAGCTCTTATCTGTTATGTTTAAGCTCACTGGTACTGGCTTTGAGGTTTTTCGAAACTCTCCATTTTCTTTTATTAATGTAAAAGAAGTGATGCAAATCCAGTAAAAGTATAAATAAGAACTATTAGGGAAAAAATAGTTGTATAATTCCAAGCCTTGAAGAAGGCTATAAAATATATGAGAATGACATATCTTCGGAGTGTTTATGTTTGTTCATTTCTCCCTTATGGTTTTTTATGCCTTTTAATGCTTGAACAACGATGCAGGTCAATCAAGCAGATAAGATTTAGAAAGAAAACTCCACATCTATTGCCAGCAATGCTCAGTGGGAGAAGTATAGGAAACCAAAGCTTACAAATCCGATGCCTTTTAGGTTTATAACTGATGTATATGATACCTGTTGTGACTAATTTCTTTAATAAGCAGTAATAGCGTTGATTCTTTATGTGATATGTTTTGGGTTTTTTGAAGGAAGCAACTTTGTAGAAAAGAGCTCATGCGCCACTGAAGGTGATCACATTAGTCAGGACTCCAGGGGCAAATTCAACAAGCAAACTTGATAACGTGATAAGGGTACTTACGCATGAATCTGAACAATTACATTGTGTATCATTGTCATATAGGCAAATTTGTTATGTGTGATGGTGTATTTATGCATGACTAAAATGGATGATGTAACAATTTATAATTTTGGGTTTACTAATTTTCTGCATTTTTATGATTTATTTGATGAAAGTCAATCTTCAGGTACATTTTTCAAATAGGTAGTCATCAATTCTCACGAATACTGTTCCTCTGGTTTTTTAGGCTACAAACGTTGAATTTAGTATTCTTATATTTTAGGGAGTTTTAACGAAAGATCCATGGTACTGTTCACTTTAAAGAAAAATCATATTTTTACATTAAAAAGTCAAACCTGGTACTATTCATTCTATCCTTTTTTTTGTCGTCATCATTAAAACTCAAAATTTTCAAGCCTTTTTCATTAGTTTTCCTTGTATTCTAAAGTTACTGAATTTGAATAACCATTGAAATTATTGAATTTGGTATTTCTGTATTATATTGGAGTAGTAATAGATTTTCTTTCAGTAACTTTTGACGATGTATTAAATCTAAATAAATTTCTCAGTGTGTACATATAAGGCACATCACCTGTTCTCTGTTGGTCGATGTGAGATCTCACAATATTTTAAAATTATAAAAATCGTAGTTTTTTGTGGGTCATTACACAATGAACAAAGATGAATTGTGAGAATTAAATATTGCTTTCATAAATATCCGTGAATTACTGTGTATAATTTGGACGATGTATTAATCTAAATAAATTTCTGAGTGTGTTTTCAGTTTAAATAATTTTGACATATGTCTGCATGAGTCTAATTGATCCTCAAACAATATACTTTTTGGCCAATAGAAATTATTAATCTATTAGCTAATGCAGATTGGATGAAACATATTAGTATGCGTTCAAATTCTAGATATGAAAATATAATTGACTCCAGTAATACTAAATTTCGTTATCGTTATGGTGTATAGATCAAGTGGATTAATTATAGCTACGTCGGGTGCTTCAGAGTGTAAGGCATGTGGATAACTTTTCAGTGGTTGAATCGTGTTCTTCAAAATGTTTTGATTAATTTTCTTGAAGTTCAGTTGCTAGCTAGTATTTTTTTTTTTTTTTTTAAGCATCAGCCACACATGCGGTTGCTAGCTAGTACAGTAGTAGCTATATTACTCATCTTTTATTTTATGTTTTTATTAACTATTAGGTGTACCAACAGTTATGTAAATTTGGAACATTTTTCAACATTAAGACATGATATTTGGAGCTAATGAAGGGTTTGGCGCAAAACTGAGCGCAGTGGTGTTTTAGAATTCATACCGCCAATAAGACTTTTTTCACTCTCTTCAGACGTGACTTTTTTTATAAACAATAAAAAAAATCTTGTGTGTAAGATATATACGATCTCATATTTTTCACTAAAAAAGAAAAGAAAAAGAAAGGTAAGATCTCATGTGATTGGTGCAGGGTAGGCATGCATGGACTTGTAATACAAGTCAAGAAAAATATTAAAGGGGATCCTATCTTCTATAAGTAGCAAGGTAATCGATATACAATTCTACTTTCGCTGATTCATAGGGTTTCCATCCCAAAAACTTTAACTTCCATATTTCACACAACATTCTCTCCAAAATGTCGCCGGTAAGCCTTTTCATATATGTATATATTTTACTACTCTTGCATCTTGTTGCAGTTATATAACTTTTTTCTTTTAATCCAACTGAAACTAATTAATAAGGCGGGAAGGTTTTCTTAAATTAGCTGACATTAATTAAATGTATAAATTGATCATGTTGTTTATACATCTTTTGTACAAATTGATGGTGCAGCAAATGAAGATCGTTGTGAAGGTGCCAATGCACTGCGACAAATGCAGAACCAAGGCCTTGAAGATTGCAGCTGCTGCACACGGTATGTGCCTTTTGATATCATCATGATTCAAATTTTCTTTCAACGATTTCATTGTTAATTATAGTTGGCATGGTTATTAAAGGGTATCATAATTAATGAAAGCAGGTGTTAGTAAAGTGTCGATAGAAGGAGCAAACAAAGATCATGTGGAGGTGATCGGGGATGGTGTAGACTCGGTCTGCTTGACGAGGTCATTGAGGAAAAAGTTCGGCTGTTCCTGCACCCTAGTCAAAGTTGAAGAAGTGAAGCCGGCGGTTAAAACTGTGGAAAAGCCAACTCCAGCTCCTCCAGCTCCTCCAGCTCCTCCAGCTCCTTCAGCTCCTTCACCAAGCTGTGTTCAAAAGTGTTGCGCTACCCAGTTTCGTCCAATGTACTGTGAACTGGTTCATGAATATCCAGAACCAACCACTTGCTCCATAATGTAATTGCGTACGACATGAATAAGTTGAACTTGATTATGATCATTTTCATTTTCTCTTTTCCCTTGTAGATGCATGGATCTAAAGTTCATAAGAAATATTTTTATATCAATTGCTTATCTCTTTGAAATTTTGTTTGTGTTTCTGCTTGTGCCTTTTTCATGTGTTTCCTAACCCATATGGAATTGCTCAGGTACTAGGAAACACTTCTGATCATAACAAGTTTGTCAGAAACACTTTTATGACAAACATAACAAGTTTGTAATCCAAAGAGGCCGTCATTTATATGAGTTGCCTTTAATTATGTACTTGTACTGATCCATACTAATTTTCGACCAATAAATGGGTGAAAGTATGATTATATAGCAGCATGTGTGGATGCATGGTTAATCAGGGTGTCAACGCACTTAAATTATCTCTATTTCTTGATTTCTCTACAAAATGGGTCCTGTCCACCCAAGATTTCTCCGCGTGTGGGTGGCTGTTAACCACAAGGTCCAAGGTTCAACCAATCTTCTAGGGGTCCGTTTCTTTTATTTTTCCATAAAAAATGAGTTATTCCATTGATGAAGCAGCCAAAATACATTCTAGCCAAGATATGTTGTGGGTGTTGTCTAGCTTTACGAGTGATGTGGACTCGCTTGTTGCGGTGACTTTTGTGAGCTTGAGTATAGATCAGTGGTGGCCGATCAGGCCATCTACTTTATTTAATGTATACGCAAGATTCTTTGTAAATTAAGAAATTGATCATTGGAGATGATGCACCCATATTATTGTTTTCTTTCATCATCAAACCAGGAAAAGAAAAAGGATAGGGAAGATCAAAGAATTGAGCTGACTAGGTAGAATACTAAAGAAGAAGGCTCGAAAGTTATGACTCCAACTCAATAACAAATTAGGGTGTAATTTCACCACAAGAGTAGAAATGTGGTGATGACACAACTTTATTATATCCAAGAGATGATTTCGTTTTGCTTTTGATTTTGGGACTGAAGGTTTCATTGCGAAAAAACCATTGGAGGCAACTTAATTTTATGTACATTACACATACGAAAACTTATTACTTGCCACATCAGATAGTGAATCATTGTAGTCTAAAACTATCTAGGTGGTCCAGTGGACGAATTCTACAAGGCATGTCTTGGGTTTGATTCCTGGAGCTAGGTGAACCACAAGATGGTGGCCATGGGAGACTAAAATGCCTATATAAGTCTTCTCGGCCCTCGAAAGAGTAGACTGTTGTGACAAAGCCACCGGCTAATCATCTTTTTAAAAAATGAAATAAAACTGTCGTTTCTCTAACATTTTTCTATTATAAAATAATAAACTTTTTTTTTTTTGAACCAGGTAAAAGCTTAAACTTAATTTCAAATTCGACTTTCAATTTGCATAACATTATTCTTCCTCCACGTACTTTACAGGTAATTCATCGAAAGATGGCCAAGTTAATGGACCTGGATTGTCTGCCCTCCCCCATCCCCTCCTATTTTTGTGGTCATAGTTAAGCCACGTCAACATTTTATATTGATTTTTTTATAGAAATAATAAAACAAAAAGCAATGGGAATATAAAATGTTGACGTGACTTAACCGTGACCACAGAAATAGGAGGGGATGGAAAATGTATGGAATGGGGAGGGCAAACAACCCAAGTCCCAAGTTAATCTACAACATGTACCCAAGTCCCAAGTCCATAAAAAATGAGTTACTCCATTGATGAAGCAGCCAAAATACAATCTAGCCAAGGTCTGTTGTGGGTGTTGTCTAGCTTTACGAGTGATGTGGAAGTTGCGGTGACTTTTGTGAGCTTGAGTATAGATCAGTGGTGGCCGATCAGGCCATCTACTTTATTTAATGTATACACAAGATTCTTTGTAAAGAAATTGATCATTGGAGATGATGCACCCATATTATTGTTTTCTTTCGTCATCAAACTAGGAAAAGAAAAAGGATAGGGAAGACCAAAGAATTGAGCTGACTAGATAGAATACTAAAGAAGAAGGCTCGAAAGTTATGACTCCAACTTAATAACAAGTTAGGGTGTAATTTCACCACAAGAGTAGAAATGTGGTGATGACACAACTTTATTATATCCAAGGGATGATTTCGTTTTGCTTTTGATTTTGGGACTGAAGGTTTCATTGCGGAAAAACCATTGGAGGCAACTTAATTTTATGTACATTACACATACGAAAACTTATTACTTGCCACATCAGATAGTGAATCATTGTAGTCTAAAACTGTCTTGGTGGTCCAGTGGTTAGAGACGAATTCTACACGGCATATGTCTTGGGTTTGATTCCTGGAGCTAGGTGAATCACAAGATGGTGGCCAGGAGAGACTAAAATGCCTATGTAAGTCTTCTCGGTCCTCGAAAGAGTAGACTGTTGTGACAAAGCCACCGGCTGATCATCTTTTTAAAAAATGAAATAAAAGTGTCGTTTCTCTAACATTTTTCTATTATAAAATAATAAACTTTTTTTTTTGAACCGGGTAAAAGCTTAAACTTAATTTCAAATTCGACTTTCAATTTGCGTAACATTATTCTCCCTCTACATACTTTACAGGGAATTCATCGAAAGATGGCCAAACTAATCTACACCATGCAGGGAATTCATCGAAAGATGGCCAAGTTAATGTACCTGAATTGTCTGCCCTCCCCCATCCCATACCCTTCCCATCCTCTTCTATTTTTGTGGTCACGGTTAAGTCATATCAACATTTTATATTGATTTTTTTATAGAAATAATAAGACAAAAAGCAATGAAAATGTGAAATATTAACGTGATTTAACCGTGACCACATAAATATGAGGGGATGAAAAATGTATGAAATGGGGAGGGCAGACAACCCAAATCTCAAGTTAATCTACACCATGTACTACTCTTGTGACCTCACTCCCACATCCCCCCTCCCCACAAACACACACACGTGCGCGCACACACACATACACAAAGCTAGATAGAATAGTTCAATCATAGCCATGTACTACTCTTGTGACCTCCGGCCACCACCACCCGACAAAGCCAGGTAGAATAGTTCAATCGTTGCCATGCACTACTCTCGTGGCCTCAAAGTGAGGTTACAATCGAGGTAGAATAGTTCAATCATAGGCACCCGATCCACACGTCAATTAAGCTACTGTTTAATTGATCTTATCTCTTTATCTATTGGTTAATTGATCTTTTCTCTTTATCTATTGTTTAATTGATCTTATTATGCTATCTCCAATTAAACAACCAAATGTTAAACTAAATTATATGTAGGGTTTTTATCACGGTTTGGTCTTTGAAATTGGACCTTCCTATCAAGTGTTCTAAAAATCGGCCTAGGCTCTAGGCAGTGGTTAGCCGCCACGATTAACCTATAGTCGGGAGGAAAATCTAGGAAGGGATCAGGCGGGAGCCGAGGCGGTCCAGGCGGCGCTTGGACAGCCTAGGTGGGCGATTGGATGGCCTAGGCGGTCTTGGCATTTCACTGCCTTTTTCTGTTTTCAAAATGCGGAAGGAGGAATGCAGAGCATAGCTACACAGTTAGTGGGTTTTGAATTCCAGCGAGGAAGACAAGAGGAAGAAGAAGAAGAGAGAAAATGGAGGGTACATGCGTATAGCTAGCACAATGGTGCCCCACCTCCCTCCCTTATATGCATCTTGGTTTCCCACCCTCCATTTTTTTTATGTAATTATTTTAAAGGAAAACTAATGAAAAAAACTTGAAAACTTTGAGTTTTAATAATAAGGACAAAATAAAGAGTAAAGTGAATAGTACCATGATTGACTTTTTAGTGTAAAAATGTCGTTTTTCGTTAAAGTAAACAATACCGTAGGCTTTTCGTTAAAACTCCCTTATTTTAAATTGTTGATTAAATACTTTCTTTTGTTGTCAAATACTTTGTTTTCAAAGATTAAATGATTTCTAAACATATATTTGGCACATTCATTCTTCTTTAAATGCACTATAAATTCATATCATCTTTGAAAAATTTTCCTAAAGTACTAAAAATTTGTATCATTTGAACTTGTATCTTATTCGATCAAATTCATCAACATACTAATGATATAATTTGTGTATTTTTCTACTTGTATTTTTGCATTTTATCATTCTTTTATTATTCATACACATATATTTTTTTTAGGTGTAAATAGGCACTTATTTACAAGATATATAATAAATTTACATAAATCCGTCTAGGCCGCCTAGGCGCCTAGGCGCTAGGCCCCTACCTGCCGCTCGACTAGTGCCTAGCAATTTTTAGAACCTTGTTCCTATCAAAATGATTTTTGAAATTAAAAATCCATCAATTTGATCCCTAAAAATGGACCGCAAATCAATTCAATCATTTTGTTACATTTTCTTTAAATTCTCTGTTAATATGCTTATGTGGCAAACGAGTGAGTAACATGGATACAATCATATGGTGTCACGTGGATTAATCATAAAACCAATTTTTGTATCTTCAAAGGTGGGGATCCTACTTTTAACTCTAAAGTTAATATGCGCAAGTCATGAATACCCTGCTTTTTAATGTTATATAAAATTGTGTGTACGTATTGAGCCCAAAGCTAAACATGACTTTGCAGGGGAGTGATCCTTATATGTATATTCTCATCCCTACCTAGCACGAGGCATTTTGGGAACTCACTGGCTTCGGGTTCCGTAGGAACTCCGAAGTTAAGCAAGAAGGGCGCACGAGAGTACTCCCAGGATAGGTGACCTATTGGGAAATTCTCGTGTGAGTTCCCAGAAACAAAACCGTGAGGGCGTGATCGGGGCCCAAAGCGGACAATATTGTGCTACGGTGGTGGAGCAGGCCCAGGAAGTGGTCCCCTCCGGGCCGGGATGTGACAATTTGGTATCAGAGCCTAACCCTGGCCGTGGTGTGCCGACGAGGACGTCGGGCCCCTAAGGGAGGTGGATTGTAAGATCCCACATCACCCATGGGAGTGATCCTTATATGTATATTCCCATCTTTACCTAGCACGAGGCCTTTTGGGAGCTCACTGGCTTTGGGTTCCGTAGGAACTTTGAAGT